AGGAGAGGGACAGGGACAGGAACAGGGACAGGGACAGGGACGGGGACAGGGAGAGGAGGGGGGATCAGAGCATCAGGGACCCCCTGGCATCACCTCGTGGGCACTGTGAGAGCACCGGAGGCTTAAGAGGATGACGATGATGACAATGAGGAGGAGGAGGAGGAGGAGGGGGACTGTGGGACTGGAACCCCCGTGGCCAACCCCTCTCCAGGACACCAGGGCTGAGACCCCCGGGACTGGGCGGGGGGGGGGTACATCAACATCCCCACCAGGCTCTGCCCCAGCCCCTCTCCCCCAGTCCTACCATGACGAGGTCCCAGCCCCCGCGGGCGCATCCCCCTGCCCTGCCCTCACCTGGGGGAGGTTGTTGGTGCTCTGGGTGCTGTTACACTTGTCCAGCTCCCGCTGCACCTTGGAGACGAGGCCCTGCAGCTTGTCCTTGTCCTTGAGGGTGGCGTTGAGGGCGTGGGTGAGGTTCATGTTCCTGGTGCCCAGGGTGATGATCTTGTTGTAGCGGTCCTGCAGCTGCTCCTCCAGCAGCCGGAGGTGGGTGTCGGTGCCCGCCTGCGCGTTCCCGTACACCATGAACAGCACCAGCCCCAGGATGATGAGGAACTGGATGAGGGAGGTGAAGAGGAAGATGTACTTCATGTAAAACCCGCAGTCCCGCTTGGGCATCGGCTCCTTGGCCTCCAGACCGAACTTGGCCATGGCGAAGCTGCCCTTCTCCATCCCGCCGGCGCTGTGAGAGCCCCACCCCGCGGGACCCCCTTTGAGCGGGGCCGGCCGGGGGGCGGGGCCGGCCCCGACGCCGTGTTTATATCCCTGGATTTAATGTTTCCTTCTGCTGGGCTCCTTCCTGCCGTGCCGGATGCCTCGGACCCGCCGGGTTATCACGGTGCAGCTTCTGTTGGCGGCGGGACTATTGTTCCTGGATGGGGGGGGAAGGCTGGGACCCTCCTCCCCCTGCCCCGTGCTGGTGCCCGGAGCTCTCCCAGGAGTGTCTCCCGTCCCAAAATAAACCCCCCAACACTGGGAAGTCTGAAATAGAAAATGAAATAAAATTTAGCTTTTTAGCTACGTAAGTGTGACTTTGCAAGATGTAAAACTGCTTAAAAGTTTCTGCCCAAACTGTGGGCAATTAAGATAAAATAGCTTAGGGAATAGGGAAGGCTTTTCAGCACGGGGAGAGGGGTGGGGAACCTGAAACTGTTTGAAATGATAAAACTTTATGTGACTACTCTATAATGGTAAGAACAGGAGATAAAACTAAGTGTCTATTTGGATCAGGCAGACTGCAAAAAGAGTGTGTGTATAGATAATTTTAAACTTGCTATTTTCAAACTGTATAAAAAGCTACGGTGTTCCTTTGCTCAGTGGAGTGCACTGGGGAAAAACACCTGCCCCTTTGTATTCCCCGGCCGTAATAAAAGTGCTTTTCAGCTTGTTCAAAGGTTTCTTTGAATCAATTCCGGGGAATGAGCCCCCGGGGCCAGGCAGGGTGGGCTGTGTCCGCTGGTGGGGTGATGGAGGGGATCCCACTGCCTGCACCGGGCACCCCAGGGTGGTCCTGGCACCCCACCCTGGCGGTGGGACGGTGGCACGTGTGTGCCCACCGGGTGGGTGGCACTCAGGGATGATGCTCCACGTCCCTTGTGGGGATGGGGAAGGGCGTGGTCAGGTCCTGGCTCACGGGTGGGGTGGCACCAGGCTCGGTGGGTGATGTGGGGCCATGGGGTGAACCCCGAGCTCGGGGACGGGCTGGGGACACGGAGGGGGCTCAGCGCAGGGACAAGGGGTGACATCAGGTGCGGGAAGCACCGTGGGGTGACTGGAGAGGGACACAGGATGCTGCCCCTTTGCCCCTCATGGCCAGTGACCACAGACACGCTCTGGGGGTGTCCGGGTCCTGACCACGGCCATTGTCACCCCGTCCCCCCCCCGTGGGAGCCCTGGGCTGCAGACCCAGCTCCCCCAGCTCTGGGGGTGCCAGACTCCCTCCACCTCCATTGTCACCCCGTCCCCATCCCGCGGGAGCTGCCGTGGAGGGGCCGGCTTTGCCCGGGACCCCCCCCATCCCCGCAGGATGCCAAGCCCGGGCCGGGGGGGCTGCGGGGGGGCCGAGGTGTGGGGCCCCGCCGGGCGCTGACCCCGAGCCGTTGGCTGTTTCCTGCCCTCTGGCTGCGCCGCGTTCCCTGGGGACCGGGAAGTGTCTGCGATGGCCGGGATGGTGTCGCTCCCGAATCCATTCTCAGCTACTGCCGTTTCCTTCCTGAGCCGCAAATAACGCTGAGTCACCCCCGGGCCCCCCCGGCCCCCCCAGCCCCGCCATGGGGACGCTGCCGGACCCCCGGCCCGGCCTGGCTGGGACCCCTCGGGCCCGTGGCTGTGCCCTTGGGATGCTCCCTCTGAGAGCCCATTCCCAGGGATCCCTGCAGCCTCCCGGGGTCACCACGGATCCCGATGGGGATCCAGCCCCCCCAGACCCCACCTCTGTCCCATTCCCCAATTAACCCCCCAATTAGCCCCCCACTGTAATTAGTTCTTCCCATGCCAGTGGTTGGACCATGGGAATGCTGTTCCCAATTCCCCTTCCCATCCTAAATCTCTGCAGGGCCGGGGGGCTCCACTCCGGGACCACTGGATTTGGGGTGTGGAAACGGGATTTGTCCCCCCACCCCATCCCAGAGAACCCCATCCTGGCTGGAAGTGCCTCACCAGGACACTTTCACCTGGGAAGTCCCTGCCAGCCCCTTCTCCATCCCCCCCAGGGTTGGGGCAGTGGGGGCACGGGGCGGTCCCCCCACGGGCAGTGGGGGGGGTAGGGCAGATCCTGCCTGCCCTTTGCACAGGATACTGTGGCAGGAAAATCCAGCTTTCCTGGAAACCTTCAAAGTGGATCCGAGGGTGCTGGGAAGTGAGAGCAAAGCAGCAGCAGCAGCTCCTGGTCCTTGTCCTCCCCACCCCTGCCTTGGCTCACTGTCCCCCCGGGCACCCCGGGGTGTTTTGGGGTCCCTGGCAGAGTCGGGTCCTGCCCTGGGCAGGCGGTGGGAGAGGCTGGAGAAAACCCTGGAGTGGGGAGTCCCCTCTGGGGGGGATGGTTGGATTTGGGGGCCAGCTGGGCTTGGGAGGGACAGTTGGGCTCTTGGGAAGAGGGGGACAGTGGGGCTGGTGGCACAGGGAGACATCTCGGAGAGCAGCACAGCCTTTATTGCCCAAACACCTTCCCAGTGGTCCCAGTTTCTGGAGCGTTAACACCTGGAGCTGATCCCAGAGCAGCTCCGAGCAGCCGGGGGGGAAACTGTCCCCGGGATGAGCTCAAACTGCCCAAGGGCTGGAGAAGTGACCCCTCTGTCCTGCTGCCAGGCTGCTGAGCTGGGATTGGGACACGGCAGGATCAGGACACACGGCGGCATCGGGACAGGAGACAGGATCGGGACACGGTGGGAGCAGGACACAGCAGGGTTGGGATACACGATGGAATTGGGATATGGTGGGATTGGGACACAGCAGGATTGGGATACACGATGGAATTGGGACATGGTGGGAGCAGGACACGTGGTGGGATCAGGACACACGGCAGGATTGGGACACGGTGCGATTGGGACACATGGTGGGATCAGGACTCACGGTGGGATCGGGACACGTGTCCCACCAGCACCATTCCAGCATCTCCAGCTCCGGAGCCGGGGCTGAGCCCCTCCCGGTCCCACTGTGGTGGGACTGGGAATGCTGGGCTTAGTGGGGAGGGGGCCGGGGGGCTGCGAGGCTTCAGCCTTTCCTGCAAAAGAGAGGGGACAGGGAGTGAGTCCCCACACGGCACCGGGTGCTGCTCCCCGGGGGACACCGGTGGCAATGGCACATGGCAGGGCATGTGGCTGTGCCAGCGAAACCCCCCACCCCCGGGCTATGCCCCCTCCCCGGGCTGTGCCCCC